ATACACAGCAAATCCCGCCCTTTCTAATGAGCTATAAATATTTCAGGAATTCCCCTTTTTCACAAATATATAAACGTATCAACAAAATTCTATTGTTTTAATATTCAGAAAGGATTTTCTCGGCCCACAAATGAGCCGTAGCTTTAACACTAGCACACAATACACGGTTAATCACGCTCTTTCTAACAAGCTATAAACTGTCCAGGAATTCCCCCTTTTTAGCTCGTTTTAGCTTGTGGTTCTTCCAGTTTAACCAAAAGCTCATCAACCAATTTCTATTGTTTAATTATTCATACGATTGTATCTCCGCGAAAAAGGAGCAAGCCTAGACAACTTAAAATTCGTCAGAAATAGCATAATTAGCTAAGTGCTGTGTGCAAGTGTCATGCAAACCCATATCTGTTTCATGGGCTGAGAAAATCCTCTCTGAATATTAGAACAATATAATTTTGTTCATGCGTTTACATCTCTGCGAAAAAAGGGAATTCCTGGACAATTTATAGCTCGTTAGAAAGAACGTGATTGGTTGCGTATTATGTGCAAGTGTCAAATCTACAGCTCTATTATGGGCCGAGAAAAGCCACTCTGAATATTAAAACAGTAGAAATTTGCTGCTAGTTCTTCCCGATGAACCAAAAGCTTATTATCGAATTTCTATTGTTTTAATATTCAGAGAGGATTTTCTTGGCCTACAGAGGAGCTGTAGCTTTGAAATAAGCACACAATACAGAGCTAATCGCGCTCATTCTAACGAGCTACAAATTTTTTTATATTTAATATATAAACGCCTATGGGCCGAGAAAATCCACTCTGAGTATTAAAACAATAGCATTTTGCTAGTACACCATACTTCTTCCAGATGAACCAAAAGCTCATTACCAAATTTCTATTGTTTTAATATTCAGAGTGGATTTTCTTGGCCTACAGAGGAGCTGTAGCTTTAAGATAAGCACACAATACAGAGCTAATCGCGCTCATTCTAACGAGCTAGAAATTATTT